TGTGGGTTTTAGGATTTTTGTCTCTTTAACTGGTTTTGAAAATGAAATCTTTGACATCTGATATCTGAAGTTACATATCATGACTTAAGAGATAGGACTGCAACCAACGCTAAACTAATTGAAACCAGATGCTCAAATGTTCACAAAATACATATTAACATGTGAACCATCCTAGCACATGAGAGCAATCATATTTTTCAAGGAAGAAGCTTTAACCTGAAGAAACCAATTTTGAACTCTTATCATAACAGTAATGAGGAAGTACAGAAAAACAAGAAAATAAAAACTAACCTCCTGACACCAGAAGAAGGCGAATTGATAGAACTCAGAATTGGAAGCAATTTAACAGAATTGAATGGATTCGAACTCGAACCCTCTAAGACTCAGAATATGCAAAATGAGCAAACTTTATATTGTTGGAACCCTACCAAGAAAGACTCCTATTTCTGCAATCTTGAAAACTGCTAAAATTTCCCCTCAAATCTTATCTAGCTCCAAGTAGAATTTCCCGTAACAGAGTATTTCCCTTGCAGCTTTCCCGTAAATGAGCAAGATAACAAGCAAACAACGGCTCAAAGAATCATGTCCAGAATCAGATTGCATAATCTTCTTTCTCATCAAAACCCCAGTTCCTTACACTTAATGATAACTCCAATTCTCGAAAAGGAATCTTCATAAATGAAAACAGCAGCCAAATAAAGAAACAGTGCTCAAAGAGGCAAGATAATCCAGATACCAGAACTCCCTCTTGGTGACCACCAAATGAAGTGCCAAACTTGCAGAGAGCCCTTCAACCTAAGATAACCAAGAAAAACAAGAGCCCCAAACAGAAAAGTCTTTTGATTAAAGCAGAACACCTCTACAAAAGGAGCAAAACAACTTTGTTCTGGGAAAATGGGTCTTTCCACTTCCACAGAAGAAAAGAAAACACAGAGAAAGAGAGATGTTTCATCTGAATTTTGACTTGAGCAATCTAGAGACTTCACCCAACCATGTCTATTTGCAGATCAATGATTTGCTCGCATCAGGTTTTCGTCTACGCCTATGTCAACCGTAAAAAAGAGAATGGTAAAGGTCTTTTGAAATACACAGAAAATATGTAAAACAGTCGTGATGGTTCAGTGACATGCCTGTGATGTCTGTGACCATAACTTTAGTGGATACAGGATACTATATAGTCCAATCCAACGGCAAGAAAACGAGTCCGGAGTAACACGTACCCGTGACGCTGACCAGGAAGACGCTGACATTTCCATGCACTCCCATTGCAGCCTCTTTGTTTTTTTTTGCAGCCGGTGGTTGCAGACTCTATTGAATGCTAAAGAAAGCAGAAAATGAATTAGAGTACAGGTCAAAGGAAAACCCAATTCGAGGAAAAGTCTAAATCTTCCCTATTTTCTACATAATTTGTTGCCAAGCTTAAGCAATTAGAAATTTCCCACCCATGATTAAGGTTTGGTGGACGCATGGGTTCATGCCTATATTATTTAACTGCGACAGAGGATGGTGTTGGCACCTGGTAGGGGCCACACATTCATGTAGTTTAATCATGTGTACTTGACTTAATTATCTTGTCTGTGCCTCTTCCATGACGATTGGTTCACTTAAAGCAAAGGAGAACCAGCAAAAGAGAAGCGCGCGTAGATGGGATCTGTGGGGTCTAAACCTAAATTTCTTAGCACGAGAAAACCCTTTCTATACATAAAGATCAAAACTTTATTATGCAGCATGTTTTCATATGCAAGAAAAAGGAAGATTCCTATCTATCTCAGAGATTTGAGAACATTCACGTTGCTATCTGAATTACTATTTGAAAAGATCAAAACCTTACTAAACTCGAAGAAAACACTGCAATTTAATCCTTTTTTTTCTCTGGTCATTACGCGGTGAAGTAAGAAAATTGATTGCTGCCCACTAAAAAGTTAACATCATTAGACGCGGTGAGGTCCATTCTGTTTCGACAAGATAAATCGTGTAAGCCTTTTGTAAAACAACACATGATACTCGTTACTCAATTCATAGAGAAAATATATTGTCCAAATATAAGTTAGAATAATCTCTTATCTGTCTGTTAAGATGTGAACATAATTATATTTAAAATTATTGTAAATATTTTATACTTTAAAATATTCTTTTTGTATACTTTATACCTTAAAGTATACAAAAAGAATATTTTCTTTGTAAACACCTATATATTGGTCATTGTACATACATTATAATTTAAGAAAGCAATAAACCTTTTTTCAGATATTTCTCTTTCTTTTTCAGTTTTTAACATGGTATCAGAGTTATAAGCTCTTGGTTCTTTTCTCTTATCATCGTTGTTGGGTTTTTTGGAGTTGGATTTTCAATTTCATTCCAAATCTGAAACTTTGTCATTAGGATCTCTTCTCATACAGATTAGATTGTTTATCCTCGATTCTCAAACCCTTTCTGAGGTATTTTGTTGGTTTGTTATTTCGATCTTGGCATCTATTTCTCTATATTTTTAGAGTTTTTCAGTATTGTGAGTTTACTGATTCTATGACGAGTTTTGAAAGGATTGTAACTCATCCTGCTACTGCTACGGTTGCCAAAGAAGTGATAGAACAACCTAATGTCAACATTGAATCCCTAAAACAGGTGATATTAAATCTTTTTAATGCTTATACTGCCTTATCTATTGCTCCGGGCACCAAACCTTGGTATTTCGATTTTGGTTGTTGTAACCATATGTCTTCAATTACTGCTCATTTCTCTTCAATGTCACCTAATAATTCCTTTCCTAATATTTATTCTGCTAATGGTTCCCTTATGAATGTTAGTCACATTGGTAATATTTCTACAAAGTCATTGACTTTACCAAATGCTCTTTTAGTTCCAAAACTTAGTTATAATCTTCTATGTGTCGGTCAATTATACGATCTTGGTCTTGAAGTAACATTTTCCACTCATGGTTATTGTGTGCAGGACCCACGGACAAAACAACTTCTTGGAACCAGTCGCAAGGTGGGGCGTTTGTTTCAACTCAACTATGCATATTCCTGATAATAAAATGGATACACCATCATTTCCAAATGATCAATTCATCCAAACCCTGCTTTGTGCTATTGAATTAGAGTCTTTGCAAATTCCATATCAACAAATCTTCCAAGTCTGTGCTGCTACTAACATTTCTCCTCTCCATTTGTGGCACTCACGACTTGAACATACCTCTGTTGGTAAATTTCGTCCACTTATCTCTCGTGGTTTATTAGGATCAGTTCCGAATGAATCAGGCCATCATGTTGCACAGGGAACTGTTCATTTGGTTTTCATTGGCTCCGCTGATCAACCAGCAGATCTCTTTACCAAGGCTCATTTTCCTGGACGCTTTCGTACTCTTCTTTTTCCAAACTCAAGTTGGTTTCATCACAACCACCTTGAGTTTGAGGAGGGATGTTAAGATGTGAACATAATTATATTTAGAATTATTGTAAATATTTTATACTTTAAAATATTCTGTTTGTATACTTTATACCTTATAATATTCTCTTTGTAAACACCTATATATAGGTCATTGTACATACAGTATAATTCAAGAAAGCAATAAATCTGAAGAAGGCAATAAACCTTTCTTCAGATATTTCTCCTTCTTTTTCAGTTGTCATTGTACATACAGTATAATTCAAGAAAACAATAAACCTTTCTTCAAATATTTCTCCTTCTTTTTCAGTTTCTAACACTGTCCCACAGAAGTAAATTTAGATGCAATGAAAGCTTTGTCTTTCGGTATATATGTTAGAAAAGTTGTTTATTATTATTGCAAAGATTTAAACCCTTACCTTAACCTAAATTAAGGTTTTATAATTATTTAGTATTAACCCAAATAAGCTTTTTTTTTTTTAGTATTTATAGTCAAATATTCTTGAATTAATTTTTATTTCTTAACTAATCTTACAGCTGTAGTCTTTAGTATTAGTCGTCAAATTTAAATATTAAATTTAATTTATATTGATTCAAAGACAATACCTACTTAATAAATAATCCAACCCTTGAACTCCAACTTCGAAATAAGCTCTTATTGGTAGTCTAATGTAAGGTTATACTGAATATTGAGACAGTAGTCCAGGGTCAAAATGAAGTAGGTGATCAAAAAACCAATACCGGCCTTTCAAGTGAATTCTATGGCAGCTAATAGCTGAGACGAAGTCATCTGTTATAGTTGTAGAAATTTGAAGCGACACGAGGACCCACTTGTTAATGTGTCTGGCTAGATATTCCACCCCCTATAAAATATCTCCTTCGTATATATCCACAATCTTGATATATGGACGGTAATTTTATTCATTTCTTTATTTTATATGATACACGGACTCTAATATTGATTGGGGATTAAAAGTTGAAAAGATGAGTGACGATTTCGACATACCTACGCGATTGTTGTGGACACGACCTTTCCTTGATGAAGTTTCGTGCACTTTTCTAGTCATTGAAAAAGAAAAGGGAAAACGTTTCTGAGCTGAAAGAGTGGGGGGAGTAGCAGGGATAAGGAAAATGACAAGGGATACTGGCAGCACTAATAGCCACTCAACTCTAAAGTCTAAACTCGTGTCCATTCCGTTTCCCTTAAAAAAAGCAAAAAAACAAAAAACAAAAAATTTCCACTAACCCTGCTTGTAGCGAGTTAAATTGACTTATTAATAATAAATATTTTTTCAAAACAAATTCTCCAATGTACTGCATTTGATTGCTATAGATCATGTTATAAGTGTATTCTAATTTAAGAATTAAGTTTTGAATTTTTCATCTTTAAATTTGCAACCGTTCAAAAAAAAATCATCCATTGTTACGTAACATTAATTTTTACTAACTCGTTTTACTTAAAATTAAATCATGTGGTTGTTAAAAGAATCTGTTATTAAAAAAATTCATTGCCAAATTATTGTATATCTTTTTGTACATTATGAAATTGTTTTTAAATTAATTTTTATATATTTTAAAATTAATTTTTTATTAAATAATTTTAAAAGTACATTGTAACATTAATTTAATACATTTAAAGGCATATTTTAACATAAATTTGATGTGACAATAGATTTTACATATTCATTTTACCTAAAATCAACCTATGTGACTATTAAGAGAATTTATAGTTAAAAAATTTAGTTGACAAATTATTATCTATCTTTTTATATATTATTAAACTATTTACAAATCAATTTTCATATGTTTTGAAATTGATTTAAACAATAGATACTTTGTTTGCAGTGTTAAGATTTAAATTTCAAAGTTATCATCATATAAGAAGAGACTTACTTGGAAAGGTCGGGTTACAAATCATTGTCAATGCAAAAAAGGGAAATTGTCATCTCACGGAAAGGACGGGGACTCTTCTCATCTCAAAAGTCAAAACAAAACAGAAACAGAAGGCAAGGCTCAATTCAGGACAGACACCAGGGAAATCTACATCGTCTTTGTTTTGTTCGGGGCCTCAGGCCTGTCAAGCCTGTATTGGGACAATTATTAATTTATTGAAGCAGTCCCGGTTCAACCTAAGCCCAATTTAGAAGGCACAAAGGGCTATCAAAGATTCAAGCCCAGAAGTTCCAAACCCAAATACACGATAACCCAAGTAGACAAGGTCACAAAGGAAAATACGACCACCAAAATTGGCATACGACTTTTTCTATAGATTAAAGAGAAAATAATTTTTCATAAATATTTTAGTTTTGATATAAATGATTTATTTTTTATCATATCTGAAAAGGAATTATCTCAAAATGTATATAAATTGATCTAAAGACACCTTAATTACTAAACCAAAACAAAAAAGAAAAAGCTGATACACAGTTTATCCTTAGTCTGCATTCCAGTACAAGTTCTGTCCCTTAGTCCCTCTACAATAATTGTATCATATCTTATCCAAGTGATTCAGTCCACAGACGTATTATCAACTTAGAAGTCCTTCAGATTATATGTTCAATATGCACGAACCTTGGTGCATGCAATTATAGTCTTTAGAAAGCAAACCACTAAAAGATGCTACCGTTCCCCACGGGTAGATTCATATCTTACTAACGTTTTCCTGGACCATCTATTTTTGTTTTGTCAAATATTCCCTGGAAAGGGTGGTTTTCACATGTCAATTTCTCATGCTTATGGTGACAGATATGGACCAGGCAAGAACTAGTGGACTGACTTTTGGTCTTAAAATGTTCGTTTTTTCTAGATTGTTTGATCCAAACCTAGGTTGTCATTAATCATACCTATATTTTAAATTTCTACACGGTTGTCAAAACATTTTCATTCTAATCTAACCACAAAAGAATCAAGAACAGTATAGTTATTCTATGATGATTTCTTATTTCAATTATTTGAATAAAAGAGTAACGAGTTACAGGCTTGGAATTAGAATAGACTCTACACGAGATGATGGGAACAGGAACAGGAATCGGCTCCTGTTACTTTGGTAGAAATGTGGTGATAACGGATAAGATTCTAGATATTATCAGGAAGATGATGCTAGAAAAAACATCCAGATTCTGTGAACTGTTTTCTGCAGTCCCTCTCATCCGGCTATGAGCCCCAGCATCATTCTCCCTTCTTTTCTTTCCTACCAACAAACTAAAGGACATTAGCTACTTCCAAGTTCTAACCATGGTTTTGCAAAACCTGCTTTTTAATAGAAAGGTAGAAGGAAACACCATTGCAGTGAAGGTAAATAGAGTCAAGAGGCACAACCTAGAGATGTTTAGTGAGAATGTAGTGACTGCTTTTATTAATTGCTTAGCTAAGTGGTTTTCTAAATGAATGAAGCCACATATCATCCAACTTCTATTTATTCTAATTTAAAGCAAAAGAAGCATTTGACAATCGGAGCTATGGAAAGTGAACAGCATTTTCCATACCTCCTTCCTTTAGGCTGAGTATTTTCTGGATTTTAGCAATGGAATATACGCATGCAGAGTTCCACTTGCAAAAGATCTGTCCATTCAAAGTTGCTTGGATTGTGATTGTGAGGTTCTGAATCTGCCAAGATATTTTCTCAAGGTGAGAAGAAATATAACTGATTGCAAGTGAAAAATTTACTTTAGTATGGAATTCAGTCCATATGTTGTTTGGAATAATAGCGGGCGGAAGTATCTGCCATCACATGTGCATCCAAAAAGGAAATGCATAAAAAAAGCAAAGAAGCAACATATGATAAGATTCAGCAACCAGAAGATCTTCTAAGATTTTGGTAGCAGTCTAGTTGAATGCCTAATGAAAAGGATACTCTAGAGTGAATTGGTATTATCATAATTCACAACATCACAGATTCTCATGCGGTAAGCCTCTTTGTGAGTGAAATCCAAATGCCATACAAAGATATTAGAATGTCAATAGAATAGTCTCATGCTGGTTCCTTTAATATCACTAGACTACTTTCTCTTCCTCCAGCAACATTGGGCAATCACCAAATTATCTAATAGCAATAACCATTTGGCCGGTTATGTCAAATTGACCTATTTCATTTTAACAATATTTAACACTTTGATACAAGACAAAACTGATGTCTGAATCAACACTGGGAGCTAGTCATAAAGAGTTTGGTCCCCCCAACTAAAAAAATGTTGATAACTGGCAAGACCAGTACAATTACCACTAGTAACTGCTCTATGGTGTTCATCTTCTTTTTTATTGCGATGATGGAACATATACAACTTTTTATCACTGAAATATTGCTGAAATGTCGTTATCTCAACCAAGAAGAGGCCCTTCTACCTTACTTAGATTGTTTACCCACCTTTATGAAATGATATGCTGCATCATACTACTGAAAGCAGCAATACAACTTGGCTAGCTAGCTGACTAGTGACTAAACAAGCAAGGGGTTCTGAGTTGCTTGTTTCAGAAAGCCAGCTAGAACCATTGTGAAAAGCCAACTGGGACTTAAAAAAAGTATTCACAGGATTAAAATTTCTAATTGAAAATGGTAAAAGAAAAGGAAAGATATGGCAGAGTAAATATAATCCCACTAGGTAGGGAGACTGACAGTTGGGAAGATCTCTTGGACCAAATCGTGTTGTATTGGCAGGTTGTGAGGTCTCCAGCTAATAGTGTGTATATCTTGTACTATTATTCACCGATTAGTTACCCATAAGGCAAATCCAACTTGCAAGTGACCCAATCAAAGAATATTGTTTGGTCAAAAAACTAAAGAGTTTATCCTTTGATACTGATTCTTCATGACTAGAAGTTCTTTGTTCTGCTTCATCTTGTGGTTCAAAAGGGAATGGCTCACATTGCATTCTTCCCTTTTGGGGGATATATTCTCCCAACTGGCTCAACCCCACCAACCTTTTTCCTCTAGCTTATAAGGATCTCCCTTTGGTTATCTCTTTCCCATACCGCTTCTTGACTAAAAAAAAAATCCATCTATTCCCTTCCATCCTTCTTCCAGGTTTCACTCTAGTCTCGCTTGCATTCTCAATTGAACACTGCCTACTTCATAATCATATTTCCTCTGTGTCCACCAAGTAAGTCTGATTTCCCCCTAATGGCATCACGTAGCTCTAGCTCATCTTGGACGCCAAAGCAAAACAAACTATTTGAGAAGGCCCTCGCTAAATATGACAAGGACACCCCAGATCGCTGGCAGAATGTGGCAAAGGCTGTTGGAGGAAAATCAGCTGAGGAGGTCAAGCACCACTATGAGATCCTAATTAGGGATGTCAGAGACATTGAGAATGGCCGTTATCCCTATCCAAATTACAACTCAAGTGGAAGCAGTGACGAAGCATGAAAGCAAAGGTACAAGCACTAGTTTATTTCCACTTAAATATCAAATCCAACTCCTAATCATCTCATGTTTAAAACCACTTTCCACACTCCACATGTCTGCAAAAGTGATCCATGAGTCTCAACACATCAAACTCCCAGTTTTTAAACATTATGATGTATAGCAGAACATTTTTCAAAAAAAAAAAAAGAAAAGAAAAATGATTGTTATTTTCATCCATAAGGTATATGCTTGTGGTTCCATCTCAGATAACCTTTAGAACTCTGTTAGAACTTCCTTCATGGGTCCACATAACAATCAAGGAAAATGAAAATTGGGTCCATAACCCTAAAGTAAAGGTATTCTGTGGTCCATGAGTTTCTCCCAACTGATAATTGGGTCAACATCCTCCTTACCTGACTGCTTATCTTTTATATTTAATTGAAAAGACACTGTCTGAAAACTCCATTGAACCCCTTATCCTGTCTCTAGGGAAATTCCACATGTGATCTAACCCTACCCTTTTTTGGATAACATGTTAATAGTCTCTTGTTTGATCTCCAACCTATCTGGAACTGGAACTACATATGCTGGAAACAGATAATCTTTTTTAATATATTTAGATCTTTTAATGTTTAAGTTCCTGTCATGATCTTTTTTCGAATATTTTTGATATCTTTCAAAGTGGGCTGACACTACTCTTCTATCATGTTTGGTTGGCAGTTTCCTGCAGAACAAGATCAAACAAGAGAGCCTTCTTCTGCAGAACTGAGAAATATTGCTATATATCCATAAAAATATTATCGGGAAAAAAAAAATCCCCCCATGCTGTATTCCTGTTGTCATACCCCGCTCTCCCACTTTTTCTTCTCCAGTGTGTAATTAAATGTTGTATTATGGATGTAATATTGAATGTTATATTAAGCAAAACTATTTACTTGTATACTGTATTAAATAATTATATTAACCAAAAAAAAAATTAAAAACAGGGACAAAGTAGAATTAAAAGAACTAACAATTTAAAAAATAATAGTAAGTACCTCAAAAGAAAATCACTAAGTTGTTTGATTTCATTGTTATCCACTTGGGTTTGAATGGAACCGTGTTAATAAATGCTTGAATTGATTTTGCAGAAACGATTAGATTTGGTTTGGAATTGGTATTTGAAGTACTCATTAGAATTGTAACGTAGGAATAGAGGAAAAACAGAAATACATAAAATATTTTGTGTCGGTGAGGGAATCTTATGTACCTGAATACCATCTTCTGTATCTGAATACAGAAGACTAAATATATAAGTTATTTAAAAAATAATCCTGCCTATGAGCTAAGTTTACAGGTAGGTATGCATAAGGTTAAATACATAATTTATTTAAAAATAATCCTGCCCACGAGCTAAATATGCAGGTAAGTAAAGTGAGTCAAGGATAGAAAAACATTATATGAAACTCAAGCTAAAAAAATATTTTAATATAATTTAATTATTTTTTTCCTTCCATGATAATTCTCCTTTTCTAGATTTTGTCCCTACCAAAATCTTGAAATTTCTAATGTGGGAATGAGTGAAACTTTTTTTTTTTTGTTGGTATATACGAGAAAGATTAAAATGCTTAAATTTTATTTCATGTAGTTGTGCTTTTTAGTTTTTAATTTTTAATTTTGGATTTTAAAATTTTAGAATAAAATTAAGAATTTTTATAAATTAGTTAAATTTAGAGTTTTTGGTATTTGTTTTAAAATTTTATACTTAACAAATTAAAATTTTTGATTGTTAATTTTGATTATTTGAATTTTAAGAATTAAAACTCAAAACTAAGAAATTTAACCATACTAAAGGGGCCTTACTTTTTGCATTGATTTTGCATTAAAAATAAGAAAAATAATTCACTTGTAATTTATCTCATAATAAACTTTCACTATCTTACATAATTATATTATAATTCACTTTTTAAAATTTGCTACGCTCCATAATATACTTACATTGTTATGGATCTCATTTAATGTCGCATTTTTATTCCATAACGAAAGTTAAAGTGTATCACCTCTTCAAAAAAAAAAAAGAAATTTAAACCTTAATTTTTTTTCCTGTTAACTTAATGATTGATCAATTAAAAAAATCAAGCATTAAGTGAACATTTTATTTTTTTTAGTGGGTCAAAGAAAAACAATATATTGGACAAGGATCCTCTGAATGTGGAAACAATCTTTACATCCAAATGGCGTCTTTGTATTTTTGGCACTTCAGAACTAAAAAGAAAAATATAAAAATAATATTTGTACATATTTTTAATATTTATAATTAGAGTGTTTTAAATGAGTTTCATGTATTTTAAAATTAATATTTCATCAAAAAATTTTAAAAACGCATATCTTACCTTATCTGGTTTCATTCATAAGAACTAATTTCTTTAAAAAAAAATGTATAGCTTTCTGTTTGAATTTAAGGTTTTTCCAAAATAAGAAAAAAAAAAACCGAGAATGTAAGTCCAAGTAGCCAAACCCATCCGTTTGTCCATGGGCCGTAGGTTCACAATCGTAACCCATCAGAAAAACCCAAAAACAAAAGGAAATGAAAAACCCAGCCCATGTGTGTTGGGTTGGGGAGTTAGAACATGGCCTTTTTTGGATCCAAGTTGGATTTCTCTCCAAGCAAGCTTCGTCTTGTTCTTCGATCCACTTCCTCATCCTCATTACAGTTTAAACCCTTACAACCAGGGTTTAAGGTTTTTGGCTCCTCGCGCCTTCCTCCACCATCTTTTTCCTCCACATGATTCCGAATCCGAATCTATCCGGCCCCCATTTTTTCACCATTAGCTAAATTATTCCCCATGGCTGCTTCTAAATTGTCCTCCTGCATAGCCATCGCTGCCGCGGCAGCGGCGTCGGCCGCTTCCGCCTCTACTGTCCAGAATCGCGCCTATGCCGACTCGCCCTTCCGCTTCCCCTTCTATTCTTCTTCGTCTTCTTCTTCATCTGCTCCTCAATCGGAACAATCATCAAATGCCAAAGCAGATGATAAAACCGAGCCCGAAGAGCCCATAGGTGCTGGGTTCAATCCGGAGGCTCTTGAGAGAGGCGCCAAAGCTCTTCGGGAAATCAATAACTCTCCTGTTTCCAAACAGGTAGCTTTTCCTCCCTCCCTTCGCTTGCCAAAAAAATTATGAAATGGAAGAAATTTAATTTTTTTTGAAGTCCTTCTCAGGTAGATATGTTCTGCTTCTTGTTATCAGGTTTTTGATCTCATGAGAAAGCAGGAGAACACTCGGTTGGCTGAATTGGCAGCTGAGAAAGCTCATTACGAAGCCATTCAAACGCATATTGATGTTGTAAGTGAAACGCCATTACCTTGTTTTCATGAATTCCCTCTTCATAATTGTTGCGTGAGTTCTCTGCTAAGTTTCACCCCTCATGGATTGCTAGACCCAAAATTTTTTCATCGGAACTCGGAAATATCAGAGATGGGAAGTTCTCACTTTCCTTCATATAATATACAAGTGAATGAAATCAATTATCTAACAAGATGGTTTACCCTTTTGGCCTTTGCATCTACAGGAGAGGCAGAGGAAGGTGGCTGAAGAGCAGTGGAATCTAATGCAACAACATGCTCAGGCAAAAGCACAAAAACTGAGATATGAAGATGAGTTGGCAAGGAAAAGAATGCAGGTAGAAAGCACAGCAATTTTACTCTTATAGCATTTTTTTTAATGACCTCACAAGTGATAAGTCCAGCATGTTTAACTAGCATTTGATAAAACTTTCTTGCTCAAGGAGAAATTTTGAAAATACTGTAGCATTTTGTTAATAGTCATTATACCATTACAACCAGAAATGTCCAATGTAGTAGATTATATTTTCCATCTTATTGATCTCCACAGGCAGATCATGAAGCTCAGAGGAGACATAATGCACAATTGGCCAAGATGCAAGAAGAGTCATCTATAAGAAAAGAACAAGCAAGACAGGCTACTGAGGAGCAGATCCAAGCTCAACAACGCCAGACTGAGAAAGAGAGAGCTGAAATAGAAAGAGAAACTATAAGAGTTAAGGCAATGGCTGAAGCTGAAGGCCGAGCCCATGAAGCTAAATTGACAGAGGATCATAACAGGCGAATGCTAATAGAGAAGATAAACGGTGAAAGAGAGAAATGGCTTGCTGCAATTAATACAACTTTTAGCCACATAGAAGGTACATGACAAATCAACACCTTTCAATATTGGTGCTGTCTCAACTGTAGAGCAATATTAAATTGGATAAAATTGAATTTGCTTATCCCAATTCTTCTTCAGCTGAATTCTGTCTCTGTTACTTCCTCCTTTATGCTATTTAGCTATTTAATCTATATTCCAACATGCTTATGGAGTGATAGATATGTTCAATCAATGCAAAAATATTTGTGCCCTAGAAGTAATGTGGTGGATAGGTTTAATACATATCATTTACATGGAAAAACAGATTGATAAATCCTATCTCCTTAATATTTTGCATGAGTTTTAATTTATCATTTGAATGGATGTTGCCAGGTTAGAAATTATGCTTTTGATCTCAGTATTGATATAACTTTCTATGCATAAGCATCTAGCTCAGTTAGACTCTTATTTTAGATTCATTACAGTATTACATTCAGTAATATTCTGGTTAATTGAAATTTCAGGGGGTTTGAGGACTTTATTGACTGATAGGAATAAGTTGCTTATGACCATTGGAGGAGCAACTGCTTTAGCTGCAGGAGTTTATACTACTAGGTATTCTGCTTATTTCCTTTCTGGTTGGATCTCCTATCTCACTTTTCACTGACATTTCTCATTTTTTGTACAGGGAAGGAGCTAGAGTAACATGGGGTTATATTAATCGGATCTTAGGGCAGCCATCATTGATTCGAGAATCATCCATGTCAAAATTTCCATTGTCAGGGATGATGTCCCGAGTAAAGAACCAAGCTTTTAAATATGGTACAGCAGCTAAGGCAGCAGAATCATTGAAAAGTAAGAAGGGTCTTGAAAATGTTGTTCTCCATCCTTCGCTGAAAAGGAGAATAGACCAACTTGCTAGAGCCACAGCAAACACCAAGGTTCACCAGGCCCCCTTCAGGAACATGCTATTTCATGGGCCACCTGGCACTGGAAAAACTCTGGTTGCTAGAGAGATAGCACAAAAATCAGTATTGTTTGCCTGATTGTTTCATTTTAATATTAATTTTTACCTGATGCTGATTTATTCATACATTCAAGGAATTCAATATATGCTTCTAATGATTAAAATTTTCAAAAATATATTAGTAAAGTATTTTATAGAATTAAATATCATTGCGGAAGCAGATCTAAAGCTTTATATGGCTTTTTTTTTTCTTTTTCTCCCTCTGCTATGTAGCAGGTAGTTGATCTAAATGCTGAAAGTAAATATTAATTTTTTTTTGCCACTAGAATAATCCTTTTGTTCTATCCTACAGGGATTGGATTATGCAATGATGACAGGCGGTGATGTAGCACCCCTGGGTGCACAGGCTGTCACCAAGATCCATGAGATATTTGATTGGGCAAAGAAGTCAAATAAAGGCTTACTGCTTTTCATTGATGAGGCTGATGCTTTTCTATGCGAGTAAGCTACTACTACCTTTTTTTTTTCTTTTTCTTTTTGGGCCTTCAAGCTACTATTACTTTGATTCTGCAATTATAGTTGTTGAATTAACCTAAAATATCTTTGGAGTAAGCTAATCCTTTCTGATTCTTTACCTTCTTCCAAAATCCATAGTATGGCTTTACACTGCTTTGAATTCTACATGAATTATGTTAATGTAGAATAGATTTTGGCTTGTAAGGAGTTTGAGGTTTAAACTGTAATCCATTTCACTGGTTTCCATTGAAACTCCAATTACAGCAACTGGTTGAAATATCATTTTCTATGAATGGCTCTGCTGGATTTAAACAGTTTATGTATAGATATCCATGGGAAGTTTCTAGGAGGTTTCAGTATATTTTAATCATTGCAGAAATTCAGTTGCTTGCTCTAACCGTACATTGTTATGATCTCTCTGTACGCAAGCTAATTTTATGTTATTTTTGTAATCATAAATGCAGGCGTAACAGTACATACATGAGTGAATCACAGCGGAGTGCCTTAA